TAACCTAAAATAAAACCCATGTTTAAGAACCATCCCCCAGCTGGTGCGCCTTCGTGTAACACTGCCTCCGCAGAACAGCCAGGTGCAACATGATGGAGGTACAGCTTCCCAGGGCGGCTCCTGGGACAAGTCTGTGGTAGAGCAGGAACGCTCAGGTTTGAAACTGCCTACGCTTTTTTCTTTCTAAAAAACAAAATGAAACCAAAACAAACCCCCGAAACCAAACCCAAGTTCTTAGCTGGAACTGGGCCTCTGCTGCTCCTCTGCTGCCTCCTCCTGGGCTGAGGCCAAATCTACCCGCTGCTCGTCCATGCGTTTGGCCTGGATGCGCTGGATGAGGCTGAAGAAGTCTTCATCCGGCATAGTGGGGCCACGGGGGATAGAGTCAGGTGGTGCGCAGCGCTGGTCATCTATCCTGGAGGACTGCATGGTGGGAGAATAGGCACTGAGAGTGAGTAGTGACAAGACAGTGCTGTTGTGGAAGGAAAGCCTGCGCGTAGGCTCCCGGGAGGTGGCCAGGGCACGTATTCCCTGTTTGTGGGGTGCAGGGCAGGTGGCACGAGCAGTGCTGCAACCCAGCCGTGGGCACCAGTGAAAGGGAAGAGCAGTAACCAGCCTAGGGCACTCCCTACTTGTAGACTGGTGCCAAGGCACAACCCTGGGTGCGGGGTAAAAGAGAAAACACCACTATCGATCGGGGTGTCCGGGGCTGGGGAGCTGGTGGCCCTCTGGCCCCTCCTAGCAAGGCAGAGGGGGATCACGGGATGGGGTTTGCCTGTGCGGAAGAATCTGGTGTCCCCCCTCCCCTCAAGCGCCACAACCCACCCAGTCCTGCTGGTACCTGACACTTCATGAGCATGTTGAAGAACTCATCCCCCGGCTCCTGGGCATCCCCCTCCACACGCAGGTGCCCCAGGTTGTTGTGTGTTATCCGGAGGCCCGGCAGGTTGCCCACGTTGGCACGCTGGTCATCCAGCCGTCTGCTCTGGGAGCTGGCGATGAGATCAAAGAACTCCTCTGTCTGCGGAGACGCCATTAATGAGGACTGTGCTGTGAGCGGGGAGAGGAGAACAAACCAGGGTCATTGCATTCATAGCTCTGCCTGTTCGTGCCTGAGCTGCAGCTCTGCTTGCAGCAATAAGCCCGAATCCTCATTGCCAAAATGCTGTTCACCCAAGCGGGCTGCAGCTGAGCCCTGAGGGACACCACCTCCTGAGGGACAGCAGCTCTCCGCACAGCCAGGCTCAGCAAGGGCTGAGCCAGGGAGGGACCCTGGCTTGCTCTGTGACCATGAGCATCTCCTCCTACCCTGCATGGGGAAGGAGGGCTCCTCCCTGCCCAGCAACGCCTGGTGAGAGCCACAAGCAGAGGAAGGCAGAGGTCCTCAGC